TTTCCTTTAATACTTTTACAAACCTTAATGACTATTTAGAAATCACTTTGGCATTAATTTAGACAATCTCTGAGTCATTTTGGACATTTTCTTGGTCATTTTGGGAAAAAAATTACGTAATTTTAAATGTTTTCTTGTTATTTTACACATTTCTTAATAACTTTGGAAGCTCTGAGTCATTTGGGGCTTACTTTAGTTCATCTGGAACAGTTTGCACAACTGTTAAATTATTTTAAATTAAATTATTTTTTGACCAGCATTTTGTTTTGTTTAGTTTTTTCAATAGGAATTTTGGACTTTTTTGTTATTTTGGACCATTTCTTTGTGCTTTTATTCACTTTATTTGTAGTTTTTTTTTGTTTGTTTGTTTGTTTTTTTAACATAAAATGCCTGAACAACACTCATCCTGATTCACTACGTTTCCCTCTGATGCTTCTTTCCTTTCCAGCACTAAGATCTAAATGAAAATGCAGCAGAGTTTACATCTGCTGTGTTTAAAGTCAGTAAACACACTTAATTTAAGTTGCTGCTGCAAACTCAGCAGGCACCAAGGTCAGGCTGAAGCGCTGCCTTTACTCACTTATTCACTGATCTCTGGCTCTGATTGATCCGGCTGCTCGTCCACACGCTGCAGCTACTGTTCACATTATGTGGTGAATATTGATCCTAGTTTAGCTTTTATCTCGTGTAGTAATGCAGTCTTTACTATTGCAGCATCATTTACTTATAAAATCAACCAAATCTGATAATATTCCCCCCAGAACATCTGGTTCTGTATCTGCAGTACCTTTATCTACTGACCAGAGTTCTGCCTTCAGACTGTGAATGTTCCAGAGTTCCAGGTCCTTGAAGTCCACAGAGGAGGGTCCAGATTTATCACTTTAATGGACTTTTCCCATCATCTTCTCATAACTTCTAAACTCTGACAAGCTTTGAGCCATTTTGGACATTTTTTTGTTGGCAATTTTGGAGTAATTTTGGACATTTTATGAATAATTCTGGACAAATCCGAAGTCGTTTGACATTCATTTGTCATTTTAGACTAAACATGAGTCATTCTGGACATTTTCTTGTCATTTTTTGGTCATTATGAACAATTTTTGAGTAATTTTGAATAAAATTGTAAATTATTTTGAATACTTTCTTGTCATTTTAAAGATTTTTGTAATCGTTTTGGACCAGCTTCATGAGACTTAGTATTTTGAACAGTTGGTGAGGTATATTTAGGACATTTTTGTTATTTGGAGCCATTTTAATTTGCACTTGGAGTAATTTTAGCCAATTTCTGAATCCTTCTGGACGAGCTTTGACTAATTACAGACAAATTCTAGCATTTTGTCACTTTCGGTGATTCATCTTCTAACCACGACTCCTTCTGTGTCGAAATAATCTTCTAATGGACCGTTTGAGATTCTGTTCACTGAGGGAATTAAAACACTGAGAATTCCTGC